AACTATTGCGAATTTTGACTCCCAATTTCTTAATAAAATTAAGATCTTTCTGAAATGAATATTTTGCCAGAGTTTCAAGTTTCATCCCATTTTAAAGGGGCAATGTCACCGATTTTTGAGGAATTCTGACTCTCTCAAAACTTGTACAAAACTGAGAAAGAATGACTGTAATTACAAAATAAAGCAATAACAAACACAAAAAGCGTGTACAGAAGTACGGATGGTTAAGATTATGCGAGGATTGAAATGGATTGTAAATACCATCTTAATTAATTGTTGGCAGACACTTTTTCAAGTTTAGGTCAATTTGTATGAAAACGTCGTCTTACATGTTGATGTGGAAGCCCAAAGTCGTTTAATATTACTCTTATGTCATAAATAAATCCATTTACGATGTTTATTTTCAGAATTGCAGTTCAGACTGTAAATAAAATGCATTTTTTAGTCAAATATGGGTGACATTGTCCCTTTAATTTCGCAAATAATTGTCAGTATAATAGAAATTATTAAATTATAATTTATTATTATTATTTATTATTATTATTATTATTTTCCCATCCGCGTTTTATCCCCCATCCGCATTTTCCCATCCGCGTTTTATCCCCCATCCGCGTTTTATCCCCCATCCGCATTTTCCCATCCGCGTTTTATCCCCCATCCGCATTTTCCCATCCGCGTTTTATCCCCATCCGCATTTTCCCATCCGCGTTTTATCCCCCATCCGCATTTTCTCATCCGTATTTTCTCATCCGTATCCGCCATCCGCATCCGCATCCGCCCTTTATCCCTACTCCCGCACCTCCCCTGAAAACCCGGTCATGGTTTGAATGGAGTCCTGTTCCATTTTCTACACCACCTCTCCACGTTTTTGGCACATGCCTCATGTTTGTATCTTTTCTGTAGTATCTTGTCATTTGGTGCTCCACAAAGCAACACATATAAAATAATTGCTGAAGGTAGAGGCGAGATGGTGTTTGAAACAAGTCAGGTAATTATAAATAACTAAAGACAACTTGTAATCATTTATCATGCTGAAATACTGTATTATGAATTCCTCCTTCGCTGGCCGTAATGAATTCCCGAATTTCGTAAGGCAAAGTATGAAACTTCAGACTTGGAAGGATTACGACCCCGTCAAGAACTACATGCCAGTTAAGCGTCCATACATATACCTATATATACGAATGGAAAATATGAAATCCATTTGACAACAATAAATATAGATGAATAAAAAGGACAGCATGCAGCTAGCTTTATCCATGGTCTGATGTGTATTTGTTGCGGTAATGGTTCTTCAATAAATTTAGAAAGATGGAAACTCTTTTTAAATTAACTTATCTGTAAATAATGTTCAATGTTCTCGGCATATTACCATGTATTTGCTAAAGGCCTAACAAGCTTTATCAACCCGAGATGAAATAAAGTTATCTATTTATTTTTACCACTTCCCATCAGGGTAATTTGAACATGGACATTGATTGCCCGACATAAAATTCACTCGCTAACACGTCTAGTTTTGCCCTCGCATATATATTAACACATTTTGTAGTAAGGATTGATTAATCACCATCCTAAGCTTGTGTCAGTTTCTTAACAAATTCAATTTAAGACTGTAACTTAAAGTTTTGATTTCAGCTTATAAAGAATCAAATACATAATGCTTAACTGCTCAACATACTGTACACAAGCAAACAATTTAGTGTTGTAATTAATTTCCGGCAAAACAATTTGCCCGATCGGATAATCAAAAGGCAACTTCTACTTGCTCGAAATTATTTTTACTTGCCTCGGGCAAGCTGTCAAGCGCTAAGTTATATCGTGCACTGATACTTTTCCATGTGTATACGTACATATAAAAATACAGCCTTAATGCACCCTCACCTTAGTCAAGAGAGGTGCTTCAATGGAAATTTATCTTTTTATATATTCATAGGTTGTAGAAATAGCAAAATTGATGAAAGCGTACATCAACGAAATTGTACGACGGCGCACCAGACAACAACAACTTCAATAACCGAAGCTAATAACGTGTGAGAATTTCAGTGATCAGAGATGTAAACCCTGCTATGAAACGGCAAAATATAGTGTATATTTTCTAGCACCTCGTCATTGCCGTTGTTATAGCCTATATTGCTATAACCAGCCTGAAATATGTATAGTATGCCACCTAATTAATGAATGTTTTGTAAAGAACACTTAAAAGACCGAGGAATATCTTTTACAAGATTTTATTTGCTTGTTTCGTCCATTATTGGAATAGCATCGATTGACACGAGGTTACATTACACACAGTAATGGCATTTTTAAATTAAAGAACATCATTTTAAACATACAATTTCGCATCTATTAACATTATTGTTGTTTTTTTTATTAAAAATCTTATTTTACAACGGTTATCCTTCAACACGCCTAGGTTATTGATTTCCAAGGAATGGTTCACACTATAGTAATCTATATAGGTGCAATTTTATCAAGTATTTTTTAGAAATATGCTTTTAGAAACCATGATGTCACATGCAAGGATATTTCCTGCATATCTGACGAATATCTCAATGTAACTTTGAATTTAGAAAAATTTTGATAAATTAACAAATCTTACAAAAGATGTTACTCGGTCTGTGTAATGCAGTCATGAAAACGTTAAGGTTACAATATATGATGAGACTCTGATTTTGTCCCAAAAAATTTTTTTTATATAGTTGTATTATGTAATGATATATCTATCAATTCCAGCAACTTTTTTTAAGAAAATGTTAAAAAGCGACCGAGATATAGGGGAACATGCTATAAATACTCTGGTGGGTAAAGCAGCACGCTTTAATATTCGATCCAATTCTCAGGCCATTACTTTTATAAACTATATATTAAAAGTAAGTGATTTGAGATCGCTAGACCACATTTATTTAGAACTTGAAAGTTTGAAAAATTTAGGTAAATATATAAAATATAGACTAGTTGATTACTTTATTAATTACTGGAAAGGTCAATTTCAAGAAAGTCGTTCTAATGGTAAATTAAGAACTCTCGTACAAGTTAAGAATAATTTCAGATTCGAGGAATACCTTCACGTAATTTGTAATGTCAAACATCGTCAGGCAATAACGAAATTAAGAATATCCGCACATAAATTACCAGTTGAATCTGGGCGATATAACAAAACCCCCTACAATGAGCGAAAGTGCACGTTATGTCAATCAGACGAAATCGGCGATGAATTTCACTATTTAATGTCATGCCCCCAATAACGAATTTGTAAAACTCCGAAATACTTTTGTAACAGATATATGCAAAATCAACTCATCCTTCCGTTCAATTGATACAAAAAACTTATTTCTATATATACTAAATGTACATGATAAGTCTATCATGAAAATAATTTCAATATACTTTCATGATACTCTCGCAATGTACGATAGTCTTTTGTAGAATTTCTAGCTTTAATATTATAATACCCAATAGTTTATTAGATTTTTTTATATTATATTATATATTAGAGTTAATCAATATTAGTACGCATGTCGCACTCCTAACCATGAACTATATGGTACGTACTTTATTGTTTAGTTTACAGTACATTAGGTACTTATATGTAAATGTTTTCATATATGCCTGTTTGGTATTTGTTGTTATTGAAATATATATTATTATAGGTTTGTCTTCTAATTAGAGTAATAGAGACATTATTTCTTATAATATGCAAGTATGTGGTTTAGTTGAGGCAATACTACGAATAGGGAATTTTCGAATATAAGATGGCGACGTCAGGACGACTGTTTGAAATAAATGATTCTATGGAAATCTTGTCTTGTATTTTCTTTCGTATGAATTTAAAATAGTTTCGAACGGGTAAAACAGAGCTTTAACCTTCAGAGCAATTTTGATCAACTCTGCTAGAAAAACTACCTGTCACGGCGTAAAATGCTAGCGTACTTTTTAGGACGTGGAAATATGCCTTTTGCCGTTGTCAACAGAGCTTGGACGACGACCCCTACCTAAAACTTTTAATTATTCATTTCTTTTGTGCTATAGGATTAATGTCATTGTATTGATAGCCGTCGTCCTGACGTCCTCGTCTTACATTCGTAGACTCCCTATAAATGGCAGGTCTGTAACGCAAAAGGACGTATACAATGACGTACAGGCGTTTGGGTTCTTGGGTTGAGCAAGCGGGATAAAAAACTCCATACGAAGTTACGAACGCACGGAATTGGAAAAATTCATCCTGCTGAGCGAACAGCCCCGTGATATTTTTTTCGAATTTTGTGCAAAAAACACACTTTTTAAAGATTTTATCGGTACTTTAGGAATAGTGTAAATGAGATTTATAATATCTTGTTGACGTTGTTTTCCTTTTGTTTATCGAAGAATATATTTCAATATTTTCGCTCTCTTAGTGTCACTAGAACTATCTGGTTGTTCAATGGGTTAACCACAGACCACTGTCTCATGTTGCGCAATGCATGTTATGAGCGCGAAAACGCCTGCCAATCAAAACTCTGAGGTGATAATTCACCACATCAACAATCAACATGTGCAAAGAATCATCCCACCCAAGGCCATCAAAACAACGAGACGAGAAATTTGATATAAGATGTGAAAATATCGTCTGTCATGGGGATACCACTTTTATTTCACCTATATCAACTGTACAGAAAACTCAGACAATACTTACATAATAAAGTAGAGAGTTATTTTAATTCTGTCAAGTGTTTTAATACCTCATCATGGTCAGACATAGTGGAGATTCAATATATGTCAACTTTGTATAACTATAATAAAATTAAGTCATCAAAGCCAAAGGAAGTTGTGATAAACGTTGGACTGAATTTAGCACAATGTCAAAACCTCGACGCGCGTATTACTTTATATTAAAAACTACAACGTATAATTTAATAAGAAATAACCTGTTCGAAATTTAATGTGTATAAATTAACACATGCAGAGCTATTGTTTTGTTCCAAAACAAGGATATTGTTTTGTATTAAAACAATCGGCTCTTCCTTTTTTAATTGTCTGTTGTTTTTTTCATATTGCTTTTCACAGCTAACATGAATTTATTATTTTATTGAACAAAAAATAAGACAGGATTTAAATTTCAAAATAAAAAAACCATGCGTGTGCTATAAGTTCAGTATAACAAAAACGATTGTCAGACCCAAAAGTAAAGGCATGATATACGAATAATGTGAGAAAGAAAAAGCTAGTACGGACAGAAACTACACGAATCTCAATCAATTCAGTAATAATGCAGGGACGTGCATGCTGGGGTCTTGAAAAGGACGACGAATGAGCAACGTCTGATGAGTGATGGGGCCCAGGTCCAGTGACGAATGGATCAAGATTGGGGTGGGGGGTATTACTGATCAAACTTGAAACATTTCAGTCGCTAATTAATCTTTTTCCCCAAATTGTTGGCGAGCGGGGGGCGGGGAGTAAAAAAAACAGTCTGAACATACCATTTTCAGTGACTTTCGAATTAATGCACCGTTAAATTTTTCTGTAATATTTTCGTAAATTTAGACTTTTAAAATATAAATTTCAAAATTAAAATCTATATTTTTATCTTTTCCAATGTTTTAATTTTAGGGGCCCATGATGGCAGGGGCCCACATCAAGTTTTCGTCGGCTCGTCCCTAGCCAGCACGACCCTGATTTAATGCATCTATTTACAGAGACAGATGAGACATGAAACCTCTTGAACTAATCGGGAACGTTGTCTGACATTATACTGTAAATATCAAAATTAATAAAATATAAAGCTATTTAGGCTACATTTCTATACATATAATCAATATATAAATTACACATCTGCAGGTATAACAAATTAGAATTTTAATAGTCTCATACAATAACATCTCAAGAGTTATTTTATCTAAAAACAATTCATGGGATTTACGCTCAATGCTTGAAATGAGCTGGAAAATCTTATTTATGGTGGCAACATGTAAAAATACGCTCCAGTGTACTGAAGTCCACTCCTGGTGATTGTTAGTTTATGGTTTGGTACATTAAGTCCATATTGGCAGTGCTTCTGGTATGTTGCCGGGAAACTGTTGACAATGAATGGTTTGAACGTATAGCTATTAGTCTATTACTTAATTAAATAGTCTGGAGTCAAGTTATTTAAAGATTTATATTAAACTAGGCCAACTACCCTATACATAACTCTGTAATTTATCGATAAAATGTTTGACTGTTCGAAAAGTGGTTTAGATGGAGAAAGTTTTGTAGTTTATATATATTCTTGATGTGTGTGGTGATGTCCCCAAGCAGTACAACAATGATCAATCCTTGGTTGAAAGGACGTGTTATAAAATAGAATCCTTGTTTTAAGTGGCAGATACATTTTGATTCGGCGGAACAAAGCGATACGTTTACTCAGATTAGAAGGTAGATCATTGATATGAGCTTTCCAAGAGAGATGATTATCAACAATCACACTCGGCAAGAAATAATGTATTTCTTTTAAATTTTCTAATTTTTATTTCTTTGAGTTTTGCCCATGAGTACAAGACCTTGTGTTCTTACCCAACCATTTTTTCAAAGCAATTAGAGCTGTCAAATTACTACAATACGAGATAGCTAATTTGAATTTGAAAGGTTCAGTTTTTTATACACACTGTGGTGCGTTTATAGTACCTACTACCGTTACCATAGCAACGGGATGTTCATTATTGAGTTCGAAAATGCATGTATGAAGGGGGAGGGGATGTTGACCCAGAAAAACTCAGAAGGGGGTGCTCAGAGAAGGGGGTGCCCATGTCTAAGCGGAGAAAGTCATAGCACATACAAAACCACCACCGGCACGGCCCTCACATTTATTTTGTATTCTCCTCATGAATTATTAATATTAATGAGTTTTTTAAGCTGATATAATTTTGATAATAAATCATTTTGGACAGATATTAAACTAGTAGAAACAACCCAGAACATTCTAGACGTAATAGGATTAATACCAGTCCTGGTATATGAAACGGAAACTGGGATTTAGAGATTTACAAAATCCTTGAGTGGACTTGCAAGGTGATTGCCATGGCCACACACGTGCGTAAAAGTGACAAAATAATACCAAATATTACACATTGTCAATCATGTCAGTTATATTATTGGGACAAAGACATGGACAGTGACGCACCTGACTGCGTGCAATCTCTATTAATAGCAGAAACTTAAAGTCCACGTAAAGTCCGTTCTGCGCACACGTTCTGCGCAGGCTTACATTCCAATGGTCCGGACCCGACCGTTGGAATGTTATTAATATTTCATATCTTTTGAACTTTCTTGAATTGAATCTCTAAGTCTGTATTCATTTACAAGCATAGCGAACCAGACGATTGTCAAAAATTCAGTATAATACATATATATCTAATGATATTTTACAACTATAGCACTGAGTTCAAAATGTAAACAAAGCGTTTGTTTACATTATGGACTTTACATGGTCTTTAATACACCTGGGAATTTTTTGCTGAAATTAAACAGTTTTTAGTGGCTAGACTATATCGAGTAGAAGCCTTAAGCATGTGATTAGCTCTCTTATAAAAAGAAACACAGAGCTAGCCAAAAAAAAGAAATACGTGGCAACTGGCAATCGCCAAAACAGTTTAATTTTTCACTTTAATTTAAAGACCATGTGACCATTTTTCACTTTAATTTAAAGACAACCAAAATTCTATACACTATATAATGCTATTATACAGCCTTATTTCGATTATTGCAGCCCGTTATGGCATAATTGTGGAATTGTGGACTCAAAGATAGGTTGCAAAAATACCAAATTCGTGCTGCAAGAGTAATTACTGGGGCGACTTACGATATTCGGTCATCTGAGTTACTCTCTGAGTTACTCGATAATCTAAATTGGAAACCTCTCGGAGATAGATGAAATTATCTTAAATCTATTTTCATCTATAAAATTCTGAATGGCCACACCGCACCCAGCCTTAAAGAAGCATTTCAATTTAATAGTGAAAGACATAATACTTACAATCTTAGAAATATGGATACTGATTTAGCACCACCTATGCCGAAAAGACAGCAAAAGTAGGAGATGGAGCACTGGCAATGTACGAATTTAAGCCTTATCAAAGCCTGAGGTTCTTAGCGGTGGACTAAGGGGGCAAAAATATTGTGCGCTCTGGTAGTCAGATTTGGTGTGATGACATTAATATTATTTTATATCTGCCTTAGTTTCCACCGCACCGCCATCTTGCTTTCAATGCAAAACCACGGTAACTTGTATTCCCTATCTTCTGAAATGTGATGGAATGAATGACTGTGGAGATCTTTCGGATGAAAAAAATTGCTCGTGTGAACCTTTGACATCAATGTTTGTGTGCGCTAATGGGAGATGTATTCCAAAGTCGTGGGTTTGTGACAAAGAAGACGACTGTTATGATGGTTCTGACGAACGGAATTGCACAATTCCTTGTAAGTCATATGCGAATAAGACTCGCTACCAATTACCGTTGTCAATGCAAGGGTGGCGCCAGAAGGGGGGAAGGGGGGGGGGAAGACAATGTTTTGTAAGCAGTATGTTTTGTAGTGGTGTTAAACAGGCTGTTGAAGACAATTGTATCCTCAAAATGATGCAAATACTGTCAACAGATACCATTGGGAATACCGAAAATTCAAAACATTTTTGGAGGGAGCATTCTCCCCCCCCCCTCCCCCTCCGAGAAAGGTTTTGCCTGTACGAACGTAGCCCCCTGTCGGGGACCTTTTCCCTCCACCACTAGTTCAATGGGTGGAGCGGCGACCGGCGGTCCAGAAACCTAAAGACGTCCACTCGAAACAACGAATTTTTCGTTGTTCTCTGCAGTGAATAATATGAAACTAGTTTTTCATATCTCTCAGGATGATTCCAGGGTTTATTTTAACGTGCAGTTCTACACAAAATGTGCTGTTTTAAACCCATTTGCGCAGTTCTTAAAACACAAATGTGCAGTCACCAAACTAACAAAAATAGCCTTAATTAAAACAGTCCTCACATTTACTCGTTACCCTAGTGGATGCTCCAGAAAATTCCAGAAATGCTGTCATTAAACGAGCATCAATTACAAACTAATATAAACGTTTTCTGAGGGAGGACTCCAGACCCTCCTATTTTCCTCACAAATCACTTACGTGCTCGGGTAATGGAAAATAACCTAAAATTGGGGCAAGCGAACACCCCCTAGCTCCCGCACCCAAAATCGAGTTTGTCTGGCCTTTCTCCAATTCTCCCACCCAACCACACCATTATTCTGTCACCTATATGCAGGTAAAAATCCTTCGCCCCCCTCCCAGTCAAACACCCGTTGCCTTCGTAACATCCCTATATATGTGCAGTTCTAAATTTTTCTTAAAATAAACCCTGGATGATTCTGAAATACTAACGAATGTGTACATCAAGCATTGAGTTCCAGGTAGCGATGAACAATATATTATGTACGAGCCTAATAGAAGGATTTAAATTACTGAGAAAAAACCTTGCTCTTGCTCTTGGAAGTTCATAAAGCCTTCGAAAATCTTTTCAAAATTCATCTTCTGCATTTTCTCCTACAGCTTCTTGAAGAGAATATCTTGATTTTTTTAGACGATCCCTGCGCGAAAAACGTATGTGACCATTCTTGTGAAGTGATCAGAAATAGAAATGGAACTTCAACTGGAAAATGTCGTTGTCGAAGTGGTTATTATTTACGAACTGATGGCAAAACATGTGTTGGTTAGTAGAGAAAGCATTTTATAAAATGGCCTTTTAAAAACACGGGGGCTGATTGGTCAGGGCCATTCCATTTAATATACACACCCCCCTGTGGACGAAAATTTCCGAGGGGGGTTGAAAAAGCCGTTTCTGAGGGGTTGTGTGCATCGGCATCCTTTGATCTTTGCGTTTTTTCCGAGGGGTAAGGCAAAAATTTCTTAATTTCTGAAGGGGTGTTTGTGTCGGCACTTTGATCTTTTTTTCTTAGGGGTTCAAATTTTATTGACTTCGTCCACAGGGGGGTGTGTACATTAAATGGAATGGCCCTCAAAAGCTCAAAAAACCGTGTTTCTATTTAACAATTAGTCGCCGAAGGCGAGGTGATTACAAGCCTATATTCACTGAGCCGAAGGCGAAGTGAATATAGGCTTGTAATCACCGAGCCTGAGGCGACTAATTGTTTTGGTATAAATTTCCAGGTGTTTACAAACAATAATCCACACAACTTTATAAAAATTCACTTCAAATAAATTTATTTTCGCTATATAAAATAGTTTGTTTACAAAATTTAAATCTCAGACACGGCTCTGTGTCGCGTTGCGACTAAGCCCGTTTTTTTCCAAATAAAAGCACGTAAAGTTTAATATTTTACCTTGAAATATTTCTAAACCATATTTTGTAGCTTGTTTGAGTTTTTTCGGAATGCTATCTTCTTTAATTTTGGCAATTTCCTCCTCTGTTACTACGGCAAAACGAGCAGCCATTTTGAAAAAAAAGCTATAGTCACTGACCAGTGACTATCACTTCAGACTTCAGAGACAGTGAATCTTGACCAATCAGAATGCAGAAAAATCAATAGTCACCTGGAAATTTATACTAAAACTCGATAGAAACACGGGGAATTTTCGCGCGGGTTGCGTGGATTGCGCGGGAGTTTAAAAGACAAAATACAAACAATATTTAATATTGAAAAAAGTTGGAAAACGTCCAAAAACGCCGAAGAACCGTAAAAAAAAGGCAAGTTGAACGCTTTGCTAATTTAGGAAGCGAACACCTAAAGCACAAAGAACAGTCAAAGTTACAGCATACCTTGTATCTGTTTGACTGTTTTCCAAGGTAAGATATTTTAATTTTATTTTGTCTTTTTAAAAAATTATTTCCTCGCGACGTTTTTAATCACGTTTACTATCGTTTTTAATCGTTTTTAATCATGTTTAAACGTTTACTAACTATGTAAAACAGTGCTTTCTTTGCAAGCATGTACGTTGTTGAGTGAACTATATACAGCTTTAATTAATAACTGAGTAAGCCTGTTAAAAGGTCTTAAAGTAAGCCTGTTAAATTCTTGTCAGACTTCCATGTTTATAAACAGTCGCATGGTTACCATCGGAAAATATCGCGATGTTCAGGTATATTCCGTGATATTCCGCCATATTCCGTGATATTCCGTGATATTCCGGCATTCCGGGTTTCACAACGCCCTGTTAAAAAGTGCTGTTTGTTGTTTTGACAGTGATATACTTGTTTACTTGGCTATGGCTATGCTTTAATTCTTATTTACACGAACGTATATTGAGATATAATTAATATTTGAATGAATGTAATTAAAATCAATAAATTTATATTTTTATTGTTTTTAAAAGGCTATTTAATAAAAGAAATAGAAAACATTTTTTCCGTGTTCCTATAGAGTTATAGAAACACTTGTGAAAGTTTGGGAGAAACTCGAAATTGCGTGGAAACACTCGCACTTCGTTTCTCCCAAACTTTCACGCGTGTTTCTATATTAAACTCAAAAGAAACACGGGTATTATTTCTTCAAATAATTTGTAACTTGTTCGTTGTATATGTTCGTTTACATTATATTAACTTATTATAACATGCAAATGCATGTACTTTAATATACTAAAAAAATATCACAACCAAAGTATTAAGTTAATAAGGGGCCTTTTGGTATTATAATGAATGTTGGTATTATTACTAATTAGTCGTTTCCAGTCAGGGGCGCACATTAGGGGGGGGGGGGGGGGGGGGGGGG